AACATACTGCTTCAAACTCAAGCGGGAGACATAGGACAGACAAAATCGGGGATAGGTGGATGATGGTGGTTGACCAAGGATCTGGCTGGTCAGACAGCGCCGCTGATGTTCCGATAACCACATTTATGCCTTCAACAACATCCACTCACAAAACCTACTTCATACATATGCATCTTATTCACAAATAAATAAATGATCCAAAAATTATTTCCTCATCACGTTGATTAGAGAATTAAAATGAGAATTGTTGCGTAAAACTTTTAAAAGACTATGACAAAATAAGCATAATTAAGCATTAAATTTAAAAATGTGTATAACGTTTCTAAATTCATTTGAATATTAAATTTTTGCGCTGCAAATAAACCTGGCTCCTAACTAATTTCTGCATTGAGATTATTAGGAAGGAGATCTTAAAAAAACGTAAGCCTTTTAGCACGTGGAACGTAAATTTTTCTAATGTTTCTCTTAAGTAACAAGTGTAGACGTAGACTGAATACTATCTAACACCATTGTGCTTAATGCGAGTTATTTAACGTGCTCGATAGCGTAAAAGTTAACTCAAATTTGTATGCAGTTGGAATAGCGCCCCTCGCGGCAAATGTACGCAAACGTCCCAACTCCATACAAATTTAAGTTAACTTTTACGCTATCGAGAAAGTTAGAAAAACTCGCACTAGGCACATTGTTCACGAACGATTAGTCATCGTGGTCTAAAGGATAAGTAAGACGCCCGGTGCATTCGTATCGAGAGCAATGCAACAGTGCCGTAGTTCGAATCCCGCATGCAGGTACCAATTTCTTTAATGTTTATCACGAATGACTTCCACAGTGAAGGAAAATAGCCTCGTAAATAAAAAATAAAACCCGCAAAAAATCTAATTTCAGTAATTACTGGTGATAGGGAGTCTTGTGAGCTCGTATGGGAGATAACACCATCCTGCCTATTTCAGCCGTGAAAGAGTAAAGCGTTTAATAATAGTAAATAATAGCATTGTGCAAAAAAATTAAACGCAGACTGTACGTGCCTTTTTTTTATTTTTTTTTATTGCTTAGATGGGTGGACGATCTCACAGCCCACCTGGTGTTGAGTGCTTATTGGAGCCCATAGACATTTACAACGTAAATGCGCCACCCACCTTCAGATATAAGTTCTAAGATCTCAGTATAGTTACAACGGCTACCCCACCCTTCAAGCCGAAACGCATTTCTGCTTCACGGCAGAAATAGGCAGGGTGGCTACCAGCTAGCCGTTATATTTAATCCACGGAACAACTAAATCAAACAAATTAAGTATTTAGTCGCTTTTCGGCATTCCCCTTCAGTTTGCTTAGTGCGAGTTTTTTAACGTTCTCGATAGCGTAAAAGTTAGCTCATATTTGTATGGAGCGGGATCGTTTGCATACGTTTGCCGCTAGGGGCGCTGTTCCAACTGCATACAAAATTGGGTTAACTTTTACGCTATCGAGAACGTTAAGAAACTCGCACTATGCACTCTGTATTCTGGGGTACCGTGTGAACGCTCGCAAAAACAAATACGGAACCTTACTTAAACTAGAACATGTCACGTGAATCCGTTGTCTTTTTTTTTTTTAAATAAGCCGTTATATAATCGGTCGCAGGCGTTCTGATCAGTAGTTTTGTTATTCAAATGAGCACACTATTTATTCAGCTCATTCTCTGTGCACGTGGTCTGGTGGAATTTTTGCATTACAATTTTGTTTGACATCGCAAAATTTGTTCCTAAGAAGATATTCATACATGGTTTTATATGAAGGTGAATTTTTAAGAACTATATCGAATGAAAACTATAGATAAATATTAAAACTATAGACACATAACAGTTCTTTTTTAAACAGTAGATAGGGCTGTGAACTATACGAAAAGGTCAAAAAGTAAAAATCTCACAAAGTGCACCTGGCAGATTTTGGTTTGACAACGACGATACGAAAAATACTGGAGAAATTGGATAAAATCAACATTGATCGGTACCATTGGTAATTTGAATTTGAATAGTACATACATATCTTGCCCATCAACATACAATAATCTGAGGTCTGGACTTCCCTACTCTCCATAATTGGAATCGTTTGTGATGGATCCTATCGTTTCTTTACATACTGATGACATTTGCAGCGCTGTCATAATTCATTGGACTCTCGACACTAAAATTACGGACACCTTTTCAAAATGAGCTTTTTTTACACCTAAGCTGATAGGCTTGAGAGGCTATTTCAGCGTAACCTTAACTAGTAGGTGAGCTCGAGGGACTCCAAGCCGGAGTAATGCTAACACTGATCCTAGCAAGAGCAGTGTTTCGCAGAATCTACCACCGGAACGGAAACGCGACCCATTGAGAAGATCCGGCGAGCCCCGTGAGCTCACCTAGATGTTAGGGCGAAGCTGATATAGCCTCGGCTATCAGTATGGGTAGGAAAAAAAAAAATTAAACGCATGACTACTTCGCGGGTGAAATAGGCACAACGAAGTGACGTCTCGAAACAGCGACTATGAATACTTTTCGTCACACGCAATGGCATTGAAAACATAATGGTGCTAACTCCTCGAACGGGTTTCCAAGTGTCAACATTCGCGTTGTGATATCTATGGAATCCGGTAACCATAGAGCACAAGGTGGTCCGTGAGTTCGTTTACCCATTTACGCAATAAAGCAATAAATCCTCTTTTGTGAACCGATTTTGTCCTTTTTTTGTATTATGTGCGGGGATTTAGTGTTTTCCGCCGCCCGCGCGTATCTGGAATAGCCTCTTAGGTAACCAGCGAATAGGTGGGAAAAAAGGGTTTTCAATAAAAAAGATTAAACTTATTTTTTTTATATTTTCGTATAACAAAACAAAATAGATTATGTATTGTACAAAATGCATTTAATCAGTGATTCTGATCGGATTTCGATCATCGAACAAACATGCATTTTGTATGTGTTTTGTATTTTGTATGTTCCACGGGAAATACTCTGAGGAATTGTTCGAGATGATCCTCTCATCTCCTTTTTATCATCACATCTCCCGCCACTGGACTAGATGTTTATCCATATTATCAGGAACCGCTGCGTTCATCGACAGTGAGTTTCCAAAGATCTTTTCTGCCATGTACTATCCGACTGAATGAGCTCCCCTCCACGGTGTTTCCCGAGCGTTATGACATGTCCTTCTTTAAACGAGGCTTGGCTCTGCCCCTGGCATTGCTGAGAGACGGTAACCACTCACTATTAGATGGACCGTACGCTGTCCTGTCTACAAAGGCAAAAAACAATAAATAAAAAACACTGACATCTATTATTAGATTCATATTCAGAGCAAGCACGTAATAGTTTAAAAAAAAAGTCAGACAGGTCTCGTGCAATCTGACAACGTTTCGAGATTCGTATCAAGTCACGAGTGAACTACACGTGCGTTACTGACGAACTCTTAACTCACTCAACAATAATAGAAGCAGAATTTATTTAATTTATTAGTTGTTTACTGGCTATCGATAGCCATTGAGACCTCTATGTTAAAACCGTTAACCGCTTGAAGAATCAATTTGAAATTTTGTTGTATTTTAACAATAATCCTTCTACAATTCAAACCATCCCATTAGTCCTAAGAAAACGTGTTAATAATGTATGCCAGTCGTGGTTTTACTGCATTTCCGTATGAGGAATGACTTCGTTTTTGATGAACTGTGGAAGTTTTTGGCGCGCAAGTGCATCGGGATGTCCAAACGCATGATGTAGAAACCGGAAAAAGAAGTCTGGTTCGCACGAACAGTCTTTTTTTTATTATATTATTTTGTTTATTGAATTTTCTAGTAGAAATGAATTTTCTAGAAAATGAATAAGTATGTTTTTCTACGGTCCCAGTTGCACCGCAGGCAAGATAAATAGTATGGGGAATTCTGTTTTTGTGAATTTTAGTGTGACAGTGATATTAGAAAGAAAAAAAAACAATTAAATAGATATTTCATTTCGAAAAAAATGCTGTATTTTTATTTACAGGGTCATAGAGAGTATGCATGCGTCTTTTTATGGGGAACAATTTGAAATTTGAAAATATATACCACATAATTATTATTGTATTAGTGACAAATTAATACTTAACAAGCAATTTAATTTAAATATTCGAATCATAGGATTAGTTATAGAACTAAAGCGAGATAGTATTTAGACCAGGTTTTTAGTTCAATCATGAACTCAATTTCGCTGTCCGTGATCCTATAACAAAAATAGGAAGATTTAAAAAAATTGGTTAGACTGTGACCCTGAGATCATGTGCACATACTTTAGGGACGCTTTTAAGTTTCTCCCGTACTGTAACGTAGAGATCGTTTGAGATCGACTTCAAATACCATGTATTTAAATTTACCGACAAAGATTATTTTCAGTTAATTAGTATATCTCCGTGAATTAACTGCGAAGCGTGAACCCTACCGCCAATGTCGTTGGAGGACGAACGAACTCACGAGAGCCTCATTCCCACGACGGGTCACGCGTTATGACAAAATCAAAATGTACGAAAATCGCAAACAAAAAACAAACTACCTACATATTTCAATGCATATCTATGATTATTTTTGGAGAATAAATAAAGGTGACCTTTATGTACATCCTTGGAATACAATGTGATTAGAAATAGACAAATTATTTACAGACTCAAAATACAACAAAAGAAATAGTCACATCTGTCAATAAGCTTTATGTGTCAATGTCATTTAATTTGGTACCGTACGTGACAAGTGAGAGTTCACAGATTAACTAAAATTTATTTAATTATACTCAATTCTTTAAACTTCGACAAACTATTTAAATAGCTGTTCAGAAAAAAAAAAAAAAAAACTACAGTTATTTCTTGTAGTATGATGAAGATGATTAAGTATAAGTTACGAAAGCTCTTCCACTGGTTCGTTTTTTGGTTAATAATGGCTTACTTTGTGTTTTATTCAGTAGCAGGACGAAATGTTTTTCTTTTTCTTTTTTTTAATATCCTATTTCTCTTTTGTTGCAGGAAGATGATGAAGAATTCGGTGATCTATATCAGGACGAAGAGAACGGAGCCGCCCTGTTGATACGACGGCATCCTAAACATGGAAAACTTGTGGTGGTGAGTTTTTTCTTAGAGATTGTCTTATAACCAGTATAGGTGGTATTATATCTTTAACTATGGCTGAACTAAAAGCTGTGCTGTTAAGCTAAATTTCGTTACTTCTCATCATCATATCTCAGTAGTATACTTATTTTATCCAACATAGTCGGAGTAATCACAAGGCATTACGATCGCTAACCTTGAGACACGAGGAAGTATATATCTTGATTAAAGATGGTGAGGTATGATGCGAGCAAGCACGTGTTCGTTTGGTAATTCCGTTATTACTGCGGGATCATGGGTTCCGTTTGTTAGGATAGGGAGATATGCCATTTAATTAATTGCGTATGCAAATTAATTGCGACGCCAAGTTCACTATTTAAAGTCAACAGCATTGTAATGTTCCACACTTCAGCCGGTATTTGACCAGAGCTATGAGCTCTTCTTACCATCGGCGTTATTAAAATCACATCTATTATTTCTTCTGTCACAGCCAGTGCTCCTCCAATGATTGAAATTCGATTATTATTACTGACGCTTTAAAGTTGAGATTATTTTTTATTATTATATTCTTTTGTTGTTGTTATTGTGAAAATTCTGACAATTTTTCGTAATTTTTTAATGATAAATGTAAATATTGTCATTTGATAACTCCAAACAAACTTACCCTTTGCCTATTTATTTAATAAAAATTTAATTGTTGAATAGAGAAATAATTTAATAATAAATTTACGAGAATTTTACTTCGTTTCTGAATTAGATCGAGACAATCAAAGTTCGTACTTACGCTAAACACCATAATAAAAACCTAAAAAATAAATAAAAATACCTTCTCGATTTCACAGAAACTAAATATTACATTAATATTACACAGTATAATTGATATCCGTCGCCGATTTAATTAAGCGAAAGCAATTAATTATTAATGTACCTACGTGAAATAATTGCCAGGATCTGTTTACGAATTAAAAGCTCGCCGCAGGAAAGGCTTTAAATAAAAGTCATCGTAAAAACTTTTCAATCATGTTTACTATTCCATGTACCCTAGTATATTCTGTTTTTTTTAATTCGTTTCGCAATGTTGTTCAACTTGCCATGTCTACATCATGAAACTGGTGAGTTTGCCTTTTAACGAACACTGGACGATGACCTTGCTCGGTTTTTTTTTTTTTGATAACGCCCTCTTGTTGTGTCTTTTAAGCAGCTAGTTGCTCTCAATTAAGAAAAATAGTATTATTATTCGCCAATAGATGTCGGGAAGTCATAAAGTTCATTATCGATAAAGTTGGTTATTGAAGAAAACACGAGCAAAACATTTTCTGAAAATAAATTGTAGCTTATCGCCCCCGAAATCTCCTGTATACTAAATTTTATGAAAATCGTTGGAGCCGATACAAGAATTGCTCGTTTAAAGGTCATAAAGTAAAGACAGTCATAAAATAGTTCTGGACGGAATTTTTAATGGAAAATTAACCTTACCCACCGTAAAATACCCTACTCGAAGTGCGCTTGAAGAAATACTAGATATTGCTATGCATAACGTGACGGACGGCAAATTCCTTCACGGGAATTTATACCAGAGCTGCAGAATACTAATGTTTGCGTAATAACGTAGACCCACTGATTAAATTTATTATTACGACAATTAATTGATTCTTTATAATCTAAAAGGATTTTTAGATTGATGAAGTTTTTTATTTTTATTTAAGGGTTGTGTTAGTTTAAAAAAAGATGGAGGTTATTTAATTTTAGTGGAATGATGGCGTTGTTGGCATTCTTCTTCGAATTGTTTTTTTATTGCTTGGATGGTGGCTTTCTTTTGATGGTGGTGTTCAATGATTACCGGAACCCGTAGACATCTACAACATAAATGTCGCCACCCACCTCAAGACATGAGTTCAACGGTCTCAGTTTTTCCAGTACAACGGCTGTCCCACTCTTCAAACCGAAACGCATTACTGCTCACGGCAGAAAATAGACAGCGTGGTGATACCTAGCCTTAAGGACTCACAAGACGTCCTACCACTAGTCAAAATTATATTAATGAACATCGTTACAAACTTTTTATCCTACCTAATCGTTGGTAACCCATGACCTATTCCAACTACTCACGGAACTAATTGCTAACGCTGACCCCAGTAAGAGCACTGCTTCGCTGAATCTACCACCAGATCGGAATCGACTCAGTGAGAAGGTAGGGTGAGAAATTTAGCCGGATGCGTCTATGGACTAGTTCGCACGTCGACCTCTTCATCGTAATCAATGAGTTCGACGAGGACGGTGACCGGGCTTACAAACATTATCACAAGGTGCCTCTCTATTATTAGATCTAGGTCAATAACATGGTTTTGTATTTATGTACCACCAACAGTTCCTCTACGATCATTATTCCAGTTCACTCACCGATGTTTCATATCCATAGCTTTTAACATTGTTCGGCGAATCTCTTAGTCAGGCCTCGTCCATTAGGATTAAGGTTTCAGCATTTGGTACCTGTAATTCCTAAGCACGTGCCGAAATCACTCAACCTTTTGCTTCTCGAAAATCTTCATCCATTCTCGCGAAACTTTAATAACGTTAATATAAATTGAAACCACAACCTTAATAAAATTTTGATGTAATTTATTTCATTAATTTATTATATGAGTAGGTATATTTAGGTACAAATGTGTTTTGTGTGCACGTTTTAATAAAAAGGTCATCGTCAAAATATTTATATTAAGGAAATTGCTTACATGTTGTCTGCACGCCACACGTGCTACTGCGAAATCGGAAATATCATATTAATGAATATAGATTACATGCAGTTGTTATGAGCATAGGTTAGTTTGTGCAAATCATTGTTTTTATTAATAATCTTCTTGTATAACAATGATGTCTGCTTTTTTTAAATTAAATGTTTAAACAAGTTCTCATTTATAAGCCCTAGATTAACGGGTTATCCGCATTCGTGACCCGCCCCGGGTATTGTTACAGAACCTATACCTATCAAGTGACAAATATGTTCATTTTTGTGAAAAAGAAATGTTTTGGCTTTTTTACCAACGTGAGGTACCACCAAAGTACATAGCATGATATATTTTTTGGTTTGATTGAAAAACATAGTAGATGAGTTGACGAAACTACCGTAAAAATGTCTATAATACAAAAAAAAAGATGTGTGATGTCGTGGGACACCGGATAGGAACGAAGTTACATATTATAAAAATATTAATCTTAAGTTCTATTTGAGGTATAAAGAAAATAATTATTTGGGTATACATTTTTTATTATGATTTTTTTATTGACAAAAATAAAATAAAACTACTTTACAAAGTTATCAACTTTATTTTATTTACAATGATTTATAATAATAATATACAAAGAAACAGCTATTTATATGAATAATAATAATAACCGTCATCACGTAGACTCTACATTACACACTGTATAACCATCATACTAAGACTATACATAAATAATAAAAATCTTACGTTACGGACGTTTTGGGTACCCCTCCGCATCGTCCAATAAGAAACTTCGTTCCAAAAATTAAAGATCTAAATACGTTTAAAAGTGTTCTACATCAATCAAAAAAGTACAAAAGACGGTTTTCAATCTCAACAATATCCTTCAGAATATCAACACAACACATCTAATTCAAGTCTGTGGGATACAGCACACAATGGCGGCATGTGGACTAAGGTCGATTGCACAACATGCATTGTGGCTGTACGCGAGCTGTTACTTTGCTCATTATCGTCAATTAGTGAGACGTGAATGTGGTAGGGGCTTTATTTCTATTATTTGTATGTTGGTATTAGTAGTGTTGTTAATAAAAATAAGAAAATAATTCATAAGCGTTCGAAAGGTTCTAGTATAAGCGAATATCAAGCTTATTGTAGTTGTTATACAGTTAAAAATTCTAAGTTATTTCTAAGCACGTGCGTCTTCGGCAACGTTGATAGGAAAACCTTTTGTATTTTGTTCCCCTCTTTGGCTTTGGGAATGTATACATACACAATGTAATGTGGAATAAGTTACATATCGAGAGGTGAAAGGCTATTTGTTTTAAGCAACATTTTTGCTACTTTACAGGCGAGCCATTTAAAGTTTAAGCTTTGTCAAAATTGTCATGAAAAAAAAAAACATCTTCAGTTGTTTCAACGGAGTAAACTTAATTGAAGTTCAATTAAAACTATCGAACTATTAATGTTAATATCAAATAAAATGCAGTTTTAATTATAAAGTTAAAAGTTGCGTATTAAGCGGAATTTCGCTTAAACCGAATACATAGTTGAAGTTGTCGTGGCCTAAAGTATAAGACGTCCGTCCGGTGCATTCGTGTAGAGCGATGCATAATCATAATCATAATCATTTTTACTGGTGGTAGGACCTCTTGTGAGTTTTTTTTATTTTTTTTTTATTGCTTAGATGAGTGGACGAGCTCACAGCCCACCTGGTGTTAAGTGGTTACTGGAGCCCATAGACATCTACAACGTAAATGCGCCACCCACCTTGAGATATAAGTTCTAAGGTCCGCGCGGGTGGGTACCACCGCCCTGCCTATTTCTGCCGTGAAGCAGTAATGCGTTTCGGTTTGAAGGGTGGGGCAGCCGTTGTAACTATACTCTGACCTTAGAACTTATATCTCAAGGTGGGGGGCGCATTTACATTGTGGATGTCTATGGGCTCCAGTAACCACTTAACACCAGATGGGCTGTGAGCTCGTCCACCAATCTAAGCAATAAAAAAAAATTTTATAACAATTAACTAAATATTCCATAGACCAAGTTGATATTTCAAAATAACTTCTATATTTAAATTACAAAGAGACAATAAAAAATATGTTTGATCAAAGTACATATTAGATCGTAAAATCGATTATAAAACTTATTTTTATGGCAACATTGTTAGCTTAGGGTCTGCGCCTACTGAGCAGATCACGTTCTCCTGCCCAATTTAAGCAATAAAGCCTATTTACTTTAACTACAAAACAAATTCAATTTCATTGTGTTTTTTTATTTCGTAGAAAGCGAATGAGACATTGAGACATGACGTCGAGTTCTCAAATGTATTCTGGGCTGTCTCAATTTTCAAACTGGAACGCATACAGTTTCGGGACAGGATTAAGCAGGGTGGTACCTGCCCGAGCAGACTTACAATACTTCTGACGACCGATAGAGGCCAGTTAGAAATTGCTGTAAGCTGTAGCTCACTATCTAGTTTATCCCTTTTGCGTCACCCACCGAAAGAGATGTGGTGTTAAGTCCTAAGCCGACATCACCCATCACGCACATTTTGAAATCTCGTGCTCATTGTTGCACACTCAATGGTTCGAGTTTAGGGCGAATTATTCGTATTTTCTAAATTTCCTCCTTACTTTGGAGTAAGACCGCCGGTATTTAATACAATAAATTCGACCTCATGCACCAAGCAGAACTGTGATAACGTCTTAACAGCAAATGGGCAGTTTACTTATCTAATAAGAATAACAATAAAAAGCTTTTATTTCCCATTTCCCTTAAATAAGACAATAAATGTAAATGTTGCTTTTCATTTGTTAGTAGTTATATTTTTTCTTTTACTCTAAGCTCGTACGTTTTTTTTTTGAATACGGGCCCCTCCACGGTTGATGGCCTCCTCCAGTTTCTTCGATTTGTCCCTATAATTTACAAATATTCTGGCAGTAATTTCCTGCTATAGCTGTGAAGTCGTCAGCCCACCTTCTCTTCGGTTTGCTTACTCTTCTTTTCCTTTTCTTTTTTCTTTTTATTTACTCATTAGAGCAATCAAAAATGCAATGAAGACTTCAATGCTAGATCGACTGAATATAATATGTATGACTGGCTTAGATTATGTATCAACTCTGGTAAACGCTGATTGATCGAAGGGATTATTTTCGTAACAAAACCGTGCTCTAGTGTTCAAGTAGACGGCAAAGCTTACTCGTAAAAACATGTATTATATCGCATGGTTATTCTCGTGCTTCGGATAAAACTTAAATTATTGCTATAAGAAGGCTTTACGATGGAGTTTAATAATGTATTTTAAGAGTGTTAGACTTTTAATAAATAAAAAAACATAGTTAAGTTTACATAGTTATTGAAGCTATGCTTTTAGCTGAAGGTTTTTAGTCAATAGATATAAAAATAGTTGGCTGTAAAGAGTAAATGCGTTTGCTCAAGAAAAATAGGTGAAAATATATTTCTGTCTTTTTTTTTTTCTCCAAACAGGGCATGTAAAAGACAACAGCTTGAAAAACATAACCTACCTAAAAAAATCAAAATTAACGTTTTTTCATTGTCGAATTTCTTCTTCCAAAACAGTAACTGGACTAATAAGAAAATTTTATTTACAATGCTTGAAAAAATATTTTGATTTTTAGGACGCTTACTCATAAAACGTGTTTATTAAGTGACTTAGACGGCGGTCGAATAAATAATTTTCGTAATTAATTGGAATTGCGCGCAATGGTATACGTAAATTTTGTGTTCAAAAATAGCTGATCAAGTATCATCAATATGTCAGTACGGACAAAGTATTTAAAACTATTATGAATATATTTTTTATTATGAAATTTAGGAGTCGAATGTGACATCAGAAGACATGGACCTAAACGAATACGTTAAACTTGATCCCGTAACCATATTTTTGCTACTGCACTCTTCACACGTGTCTAAAGAATATCTATATTCTATATCTATACATATAAAAATGAATTGCTGTTCATTAGTCTCGCTAAAACTCGAGAACGGCTGGACCGATTTGACTAATTTTGGTCTTGAATTATTTGTGGAAGTCCAGAGAAGGTTTAAAAGGTAGATAAATATGAAAATTCTCGGAATTAAATAAAGTTTAGGTCTTTTATTTATCGGTTGAGGCACTACGAAGTCTGCCAGGTCAGCTAGTATGTATATAAATATGGGCCTCGAAAATCATGTGCAGGTCTTTTACTGCTTTAATTGGCTGACTTTATTACAGAGAATCTATTCATAATAGGAACGTACTATTTCCCAACTTGAGACATGAGCATACCTGATGGTGAATGGTTACCGTTCATAGACGTCAGCAAAATCATCTTCATTTCATTTCATCATTTTTCATAAAAATAAGAGTATAAATTAAAATAAGACATGACTTAAAGGTCTTAGTTACCAGGTCATAAAAAACCTTAAAAAAAAAAGACGTCAGCAATGTCAGGCGCACACATCCTACCTTCAATTCAAACCGTCAATGTACATTGCGTGCTGACTCAGATTAGACCCTGATACCAGTAGTAGGTAGGTTTATGTAAACAGATTCAACTAGAATTTAAGCAGGTTCACATATAAATGTAAGCTCGCTAAATCGAGTCTTGTTAATGACCTAAAACAGTCTCACGGTTTGATTATCGAAAGGTTAAATTATTCGCGGTCACGTAAGTTCTATATCGAAATATCGGTATTTGAAAATTAACAGAATACGGACGTTTTATAATTCTGAGTGCAACACGCAAAGTAATTCAAAAATGAGAATCACGCATACGCGTTCGCAGTGTCGACAGAATTTAATAATTTCGGGAATCCGGATTCTTCAAAATTAAAGAGGAAAAGGATTTAAATAAATAAAAACGTATGCAACTCACACGTGGTAGAAGTGTAATCTTGAAAAATATTGGCTTCAAGATAATGAGACGAATGTAAAATTTCGGGAAGAGAATGATAAAATAGTAGGTTTTAGTAATGATCATAGTGATACAAAGTTTGATAAAATTATTTTACANATTTCGGGAATCCGGATTCTTCAAAATTAAAGAGGAAAAGGATTTAAATAAATAAAAACGTATGCAACTCACACGTGGTAGAAGTGTAATCTTGAAAAATATTGGCTTCAAGATAATGAGACGAATGTAAAATTTCGGGAAGAGAATGATAAAATAGTAGGTTTTAGTAATGATCATAGTGATACAAAGTTTGATAAAATTATTTTACATTTTATTCGTATATTCAAAGGTATTAAGTACGAATATTCGGTACGAAGCATAGCACAAAGAAAACCACGAATATAAGAAACACTGTATAATGCTTTCTATCTCATTTTCTCTCACGTTAAATCTTATTAACTTATGTGTCTGTTTCTTTTTACTGTCGCTTTTTCGTTTCATCGTCGTCACAAAGATGCTAAAGAAGTTTTCAGTTTTCAAAAAAACAACTATCTTTCTTTTTCACAGGAGGGCTCAATCGGTCACGATCTCGTTATAAGGCCGATTCCTGACACGATGACGTCACCCGCGCAAGACGATGAGATGTTCATGGACCCCTCAAGCATGGCCGACATGGTCTCCATAGACACCGGTCTGCCTATTAGTAAGTATCTAATAGCTGTTGTAGTCTTATTCCGCAAAAGAAACTACTCTATCTTTATTTGGACCTATCAAACCTTGCTTTTAATCAAACAATAAAACGAAATATTTTTTTAATGTAAAATACCTTTATGTTGACGCGGGACTAATGGCGACCGATTATTTTCCAAAAGTATCCTGCTATTTATTACAAACGAGATAAAATACATCACTTACAAATAGTTAAAACAATACAACCTTATTAATGTTACTAACAGAAATATTATATTACAACACTACATACACTACATACATCGGAACATATAGTAGGTATGTTGATTTGGACCCAAATACTTACAATGATGAATTGTTCTTAGGCAATTATCTAAATTATTTTTAATATTCGAAATATCAATACTTTTTAATTATACTTGTTTCTGCGTAATGTCTCTTGTTTTAAATTCGTCAGTAAAATGTTTAGTTCGAAATTTTGCATGTGAAAAATAAATCAAATAAATTAAAAAATGGTCTATTAATTGGTTTTTACCTATGGTACATATTTTTATTAATTGTTGTTTTGAAACGCGTGAAATTTTAGTATTTTATTTAAATTCGAAAGGATATGAGACAATATCCTAATGAAAGCTAACATTAAAATTTCCTTCCTCGATTATCTACTAATTCACGAAATATGTAAATACCAAGATTTTGTTATGTCATTTATTTTCTAAATGGCGCCAACGTATTGAACAAAAGTATAAATTAGAAAATAATTTATTATATCCACATAAATAACTTTACAATCAGTGGTGTTCTAAATACTAACTATAGGTACTAATATTTTCATTGCGTACGTGGTATTAGATACGTTGTTTGAGATGGAGGCTGGTGTAACACCCGGTCATCGTTCTGGTCGAACCCGTCGCTTGCGACGAAGGGCTCGGCGAGTAAGTTAACCTACAGACACAGCCCACTGAGTTTCTCGCCAGATTCTCTGTGAGTCGCGTTTCCGATCCGGTGGTAGATTCTGCGAAGCACGGCTCTTGCTAGGCTTCGTGTTAGCAACATCGCCAGATTTGAGCCCCGTGAGCTCACCTACTAACCCGGTGACGCTAGTCTCTCTAGACCATCAGCTTAGGTAGGGAAAAACCACCAGGTGTAACAGTGTGAAAGTATGTCAAGAATTATAAAAAAAACTGTAAGGACTTTTTAAGAATAGACGTATAGAAATAATATTGCAAGACGCATTTTTAAACTACGATAACGTACGAGTCGATTTATTTGGATATTCCAATATAGGTACATAATAATATAATGGCTTTGACCTCGATTTTTGCAGTGAAAAGAAAAAAAGAAGAACAAGACAGACTACAGGAGGCCCTGAACGGAGCCCAACACGTTATCATCAAACGGGATCCTGCGGAAGTTGACCATATGAGTGACTATGGTGAGTCCTTGAATTATATAATTAACGCGCGAAACATTTTTTTCGACTGAAACTTGTTTTTTTCCCTACCTAATATATCAATCACAACGAGAATACTGACACTTTGAAACCCGCTCAAGGAGGTAGCACAATTCTGTTTTCATTTCCATTGCGTGTGACGATAAGTATTCATAGTCGCTGTTTAGAAGACGTCACTTCGCTGTGCCTATTTCAACCGCGAAGTAGTCATGCGTTTTAGTTTTTTTTTTCCTACCTATGCTGATAGCCTTGAGAGGCTATTTCAGCGTAACCTTAACTAGTAGGTGAGCTCACGAGGCTCAAACCGGAGTGTTGCTAACACTGTCCCTAGCAAGAGCAGTGCTTCGCAGAATCTACCACCGGATCGGAAACGCGACCCACTGAGAAGATCCGGCGAGAAACTCAGGGGGCTAATTGAAACTTGACGGTTTCATTAATGAAACATGATTAATTTCAAAAATTTCACTCGATCTTGCAAAATTTTACAGGTTACATGTCTAATTTGTATAATACTTTATTTCATACTTAACATTCGTTCACGATGAAGGTAAAAATTCGTGTGGTTAAAATTTGTTAGCAAATTTGATTAAATTTACATGTTGAAGGATGGTAGTGGGCAGGACAAATCCTAATCTACTGTAATTGAGTCTTTGACCTCAAGCATTGATTGATATTGGCTGCCAAAAAAAAAATCAAGAAACTAATTTTATGTAATAGAGACTAAAAAATAACTATACAATAGTATCAACGTTGCGACGTCTAGTCGAATAGATATCAGAAAATGGCCAACAATGGCCAATAAATCACAGAATGACATACGTCATTCGCGTCGTTCGCGCCATCATGTTTTGAGTGCATAGACATCAATAAAATATGGTGACAGTCACATGACTTTGTGAAACTTACTAATTATTAATAAATGTCAAATATTATAATATTAAAACGGTAAAAGGCCGTCAATTAAAACAGTATAAAAATAAAATATGCCTTTTGTGAAGTGCACCGTCAAAGGTGTTAAAATGTACTAAGCCTACTATTATTAATTTAGTACACGTTTAAGCCCGAAGAAATAATAATAAAAAAAAAACCTCGAGCAATCCAAAAAACCGCGATCCACTCAAAAAGTCAAATGGAGTTTACTCTTAAAGTGTGTTTGCTAAACGCCTTCGTTATTATACTGAAAGCATGTACTTATTCTAATTTAAATAGTTAGTTAGATATATTATTTATTTTACGAAAGGTTATCTACTTACTACATTACGAAACTTTCTACTTGGAAAACGCTGACATAATTGCACTCGTGCTGCCATCTATTGTCATGTACGCATATTACTATGTTACCAAAGTTGTCTAATTTTGAAATATTCTGTTGTTTAGGCGGTTTACGATCCTCATGGAGTAAATTGCAATAAACTTCAAAGATATGTTAATGGCCTATCGCAGTAAATATTCTATCAGTATAGTCAGGTATAGGATATGCCACTAAATAGACATAAAAAGAATGATATTTCTTATTCATTTAAATCAAATTATATGTATGTGTCAATTTAATCACACTAATCGCGTTTTCTAATGTGACACATATCAAATAAAGCCTCGTTTATGTGAAAGAAACAGGTTCCCCAAAAATATATATAATGTGTAATAAAATTCAAAGTTATCAAAATGGACTTGGCGGTTATGTATTTATATTTATGTTTATTATAGCACGCTATGAACGTTTTTTAGAATAAAATTGCGTGTTTAATTTAGCTTTTCCAGCTGTTAAAAAATACTACGCTGCATTAATTGAGCGCTGTACTGAATTATTAAGGAGTGTTGGAATCTATGCTGAATTTTTGTATACTGTTCAAGATAATAGATACATTTACTGATAATACATTAGTCCTCTCGATTTTTTATTCGGAAAGCATCAATAGTGAAGCGATCTATAGTGGTGTAATATTTAGGGCCAACAAAGTCTACACTACACATTCATCAACAATAACTTTGTTTTGACACATCACAGTAGATACTACATGTTACAGCACCCATCGATTGCGCCATTACGCGAGTTCCCCTCATTACGGATCCTCCCGATCCACTAACGGTGCTTTTAGGTACCACAAGCACCGGTCACGGTGCTCGTCGAACCCGTCGCTTGCGACGAAGAGCTCGACGAGTGAATTAACCTATAGACACAGCCCACTGAGTTTCTCGCCGGATCTTCTCAGTGAGTCGCGTTTCCGATCCGGTGGTAGATTCTGCGAAACACGGCTCTTGCTAGGGCCAGAGTTAGCAACACTCCCTCTTTGAGCCCCGTGAGCTCATCTACATGTCAAGAAGCTGAAATAGCCTCTCAAGGCTATCAGCATAGGTATGGAAAAAAACGAGAGTTGTCATGTGACATTCTAAATATTTTTGGATATGACATGCCTTTTTATTTAAATGTGATTTTTAGTACTCGATAATTTAATGTATTTTACAACCTTTTAAACAAACAGCGGTGTTAAACCTGTTTGTTTTCCTTAGATTTTTCGTGTGTTTGTACTGAGTACGATATGAAGGGTATATAAATAAAATGAAAATGTTAATGAGTGCATCATGTGCTATTGACACATTGACTTGCGTCCAAGGTGTTCACGACACGTGAGTCTCCGGAAAACACTTACCACACTCATTAAATCAGTAGGGTTGGTACATACCCTAAATTAAATATAATTACTGATGTTTTTAAGTTCTTTAAAATTAGATTACTCTAGTGAAATTGATTTTATATAATTATAATTTGATTATGAAACATAATTAAAAACTATTTTGTAAAGAAAATATTTGATTATTTTATTATTGCTTAGATCGGTGGACGAGCTCACAGCCCACCGTGTGTTAAGTGGTTACTGCAGCCCATAGACATCTACAACGTAAATGCGACACTCACCTTGAGATATAAGTTCTAAGGTCTCAGTATGGTTACAACGGCTGCCCCACCCTCCAAACCGAAACGCATTACTGCTTCACGGCAGAAATAGGCAGGGTGGTGGTACCTACCCGTGCTGACTCACAAGAGGTCCTACCAGTAAAAGGCATTGTGGGTGAACATAGCTATTCTAAGTTAATAGAATGAGATCCCGCGGTGACGAATTGTATTAGGCTAAGAAGAAACGAAGATATCAGAATGGTGATAGCTTATTTATTAGACGTTATTTATCTGTAAGTCAAATACTCAATTTGGCTGCCACTTGAGTTTGTTTAATATTTATGTAGAATAGGGATCGCAGCGCATAAAATAAAACTTCCACTGTTCCAAAATCTTCTGTTATAATAATAATTTAAAAATTAATTAACACTTTTATTGCGCCTTGCTTATTTTTTAACCGTCTTCGCCATCTTAATTTTCTATGTTATTCTGTCTGTCATTCTTTTCTCCCTTTCTTACCGTTTTCTCTCACTCACACCTTAACGTTCCGTTCCACACTCTTTTCATACGTTCCGTTCTTGCCAATCCTACATAACATATTTTTTAATAAACAAAAATATATCAAATTTTACAAAGCCCAGCCCTGCTTCATGACTGGAAAGGCAATGTAACTTGAAACGACAAAGGAACCGGTCATCGAAATGTCGTCTTCATTATTCACAAGACAATAATTGTTGTTGATTAACGCTAATTAACCGACGCCCGTCCGTCTGTTTTGTTGAGGACAACATAGACTACGCATGTTATTCATTGTGGAAATACTTAATGCACGTTGCATATCTGTTTCCGTAAACAATAAGGAGCAATGAAGACTGAATACAAAAAAAAAAAACTAAATTATTTATTTATTTATTTATTTAGACACACCAACAGCAATACACACAAAACATTCAAGCTTAAAATTAACATGTATAAAATGAAGTACTGGTATGTAAGCCAGTTACAGGCATGTACAGCAATCTCTTATAACACACTATGACATGTTACAGCAATTTTACAAACAGCGGAAAAATAGGCTAAATTTAAATGTTAACAGTACGACAAAAAAGTATATTTGAAAACAACATGAAAACAAGAGCTAACTACACACACTACTAACTTCACAGATTACTAAATTAAAAAAAAAAAAACTCTTAATTATAAATATTACTGATGGTAGGACCACTTGTGAGTACGCGCGGGTAGGTACCACCACCGCGCCTATTTTTGCCGTGAACCAGTAATGCGTTTCGGTTTGAAGGGTGGGGCAGCCGTTGTAACTATACTCGAGACCTTACAACTTATATCTCAAGATGGGTGGCGCATGTACGTTGTTGATGTCTATGGGCTACAGTAACCATTTAACACTAGGTGGGTTGTGAGCTTGTCCACCCATCTAAGCAATAAAAAACTATATATATACATATTTATATATCCAATATGGACGACAATCCAAATTTTAATGTATACAACCTTTCACAAAATCTTTTATAGTTTCATTGGATGTATCTGTTGAAATTGTTTTTCAAGGTTCGTTGCGTCAATATACATTCTAGTTTTAAAAATGGAATAGTTGCTGCTTTTATGGATTTTAGTCCTGCTGAGGCTGTTTATAGTAGAGATTCTCGGTGTGAAGGATGTTCTGTGCTCACATGGATTCAATCAACGGAAACCAGAGACAATTAGACTCGTATTTTCATCGCAAGTGGTAGCTATAGTTAAAACTACTTTTTATCGTGTCCGTGTTGATGAAAAAGATACCAATGTATACTCGTAAAGTGGAAAACATTAATTAACAAACAAATAATTGAATTTGAAAATATAATTCCATTTTTTTAAATAAAATTCATTTGAATTTAGAATTTATTGCCAACCTACTAGCACTGATATTAAAATACTGAAAATTTATTTCTGGTGGAAGGTCCTCTTGTGCGTCCGCACGGGTAGGTCCACCGCCCTGCCTATTTCTGCCGTGAAGCAGTAATGCGTTTCGGTTTGAAAGGTGGGGCAGCCGTTGTAACTATACTGAGACCTTAGAACTCATATC